TGTTAGTGTTAACGGTAATGACATATTTTTGAATATGAATATTATATTTATTAATATTGGGTCTGTTGCAAATACAAAAACAATTAAATTCTATTTGTTAGGTAATATAAATAATTTTACTTTAATTTCTACTTATTCCATACCAACGTCAAATATTAGATCTTTGTTTAATTTCTATAATTCTAAATAATTTGAATTATCGTAGAATTTTAACAAAGAATATTATCATCTTGTGTTAGTTACATTAATTTATTTATTAATATGGATGTTTTGGTATCATAAACAATTATATTGCCACAAAACGATATTCTTTTTAACTACAACTAATTAATAAAGATAACAGAACGGATAACAAATTGCTGTTAAGTAACGAACTATTATCTCAGACATATATTTTGCAATTTTTTAAAGGACTCATATAACAATTTGTGTTGTAATAATTGTGTTTTATCTATAATTAGGGAAGTTTAATTTTGTTTATGGTCACGTACGCCAATAACTCATTATTTCATAATATTATTTATAATCATGCTGATCTGTGATTTATATATTACAATATTTTCTCTCTAAAAAAAAAGGAAAATGATTTCGTCTATATGCATAAATAAGCATATACTTTGAAGTTTTTTTATTAACAACTAGTAAACCCGGTGAACTCCGTTTCGCCACCAGAAGGCTTTTAAATGTACATTTCGTTTGGTGATTAAAAGATGAATAATTTTCTTTTTGTTTTATATTTGAAAAGGAAATTTTTTATTTCATTTCACAACAGTAATGAATTCATTTCGATTACAAAAAAGAAGTAGTATTTAGTTGAACTTCTCTAAGTAAATGAAAGTGAATCCAAAGTAGATACCGAATCGAAGCGTTATACGTGTCCGCAAATTATGCGTTTCATTGAAGTGCTCCTTTGTAAACCACATTTTTTGTTTTTTGGTCTAACTTTAACACAAATAAAGCGGATGGTTTCCAAACTCGTGATCACGCAAAATATAACGTCCATGTGAAAAACAATGATTTTCTAAATTTATCCTGCAAATACTAAATGGTTTTAAGAGTTCAAACTACAAACACAATACCGGTTTGTCACATGAAATTAATTGAGCTGAGAACAATGAGTAGCTGTCAAACAATGTATCATGCACCGGCCCCATCTACTTAAAATATTGATTTGTAGTACATGTTCTGTATGATAGCGCTGTATGTGACAAAAGATTTTCCCGCTTTTCTGTTTAATTTTTTGTTATAAACCTCACGGAGCCCGAGACCTTTCCAACGAATGCAAAACCGTTCGTTCGTTCTGAAGTTATAGCGTCAAGATGGAAAACCGGACTTATTTTTATATAGTAAGATCTCTTGTCATCATGTCATCAGCCTATCAGAACCCACTGCTGAGCAAAGGCCTCTTTCTCACATGGAGAAGGTTTGAGCTTTAATCACCACGCTTGCTCAAGACGGGTTGGTGATTTCAAACTTATAATTGTGAAACTATAAGTCCAGGTTTCCTCACGATGTTTTCCTTCACCGTATGTCAGTGATGTCTAAATACTCTCAGAAAGTACATATGACTCCGAAAAATTACATTGGTACTGGCCAGGTTTGAACCCGCACCCTCGGAAACGAGAGACGGGCCCTTTAACCACTAGGCCACCACTGGTTTACGTAAGATCTCTTACAAATATCTAATTGTCATCATTACGTCATTACATATCTGTCATGATACGTCAATTGCATAGCTGTCAATTGTGTTTCGTTATTCCACGTTTTATAGTGACTGACGTTTCATGTCAAGTCCTACGGGGATGCTGTCGGACGGGATAAAAAGTATCCTATTGCAATTTCCTGGCTCTTAACTACCTACCTGCCAATTTTCAGCTAAATCGGTTCAGCCGTTCTTGCGTTATAAGTAGAGTAACTAACACGACTTTCTTTTTTATATATAGATGAGATTTTCTTTTACATCAATAATTATAAATGATTTTAGGGTGAAAATCTTTTCTGATATTTCGGGTATAAAAGGATAAAAAGTATACAATATTTTATCTTTAAATATACAATCTTACTTACCCAAAGTGCTAAAAGAAATCGTCTTAAGCAATGAGGTCACTTGTTGTGCCTTACTTTTTCTAATTACTTTTTTCGGTGTACATATTGAAGCGTAAATTTATTTTTTATATGTATGTGATTAAACTCAATAACTCCAAACAATTCGTGCATGTCACGTCTATACTTGTTGTTGGTATTCATTCGCATGTGATTACAAAGGATTCCCAACGTTCAGTCAGGATACCTTCTACATCCTCCTTGACTCTCATCAAATTGGAAAAATAGCGTTAGGGCATCTGTTTAAAGATACTTTTATTTGTAAGTTTAAGCTGGTTATAAGAAATTAATTATATTTCTCTTTCACAGGTGGAAAATATGTGTGCTACTCGTAGTATTTTCACGCAGTGTGACTTCACAAGCCTCCCCTCACATTTTATTTATTATGGTGGATGATATGGTGAGATTTCAGCTTTTTTTGATTCAAATACAAAACAAACAATGTAGATTTGTAGGTGATTCTTGCAATGTAAACAAATATAATATTGATTTGATAGATCTATTTGGTGCAACTACGTTTTAGAACATCAGAATTTCCTTCCTTTGTTTGAAAAACAAACAACACCTGTTTCAGTTTGTTATATTGTTGTTAATTTATCAAGTTGTTATATGAGTTATCTGTATTTGGAATTACGAAACTGTGAAAAGATAAGCAAAGCAGTTCTTCAATCTTCTATCTTCTATGTATATAAAAATGGATTGCTATTCCTTAGTCTCGCTAAAACTCGAGAAAAGCTAAACGGATTTATCTTATCTTAGGCTTGAAATGTTCGTGGAGGTTCAGGGAAGGTATAAAAGCTGAAAAAAATTGATTCATTACTGGGAAAACCATAAAAACAGCCCTTTTCTATTTCCCATACAAACGTTTTTTTTTTGACATTAAATTTGACAACTAACTAATATGTCAATCATTCTGTCGCACTTCAAAACACGGAGATTTATGGCTTACAGGTATACTCCAAAAATTTAAATAAAAAAACGTAATAGATATTTCTTGATTATAGGGCGATACGAAGTTCGCCAGGTCTTCTAGTCAACAAGAAAGATCATAAATTATAAAATTAAATAAAAGTATTTCGTACAGAAATCAATAATATTTCTTATACGACTTATTTGTTTTTTCATTGTATTCTTCGCGGTGTGTCTCACGGTCACGGTTTTTGTAACATAAAAGATATATTCACAAAAATATGTTAGTATTTAAATATGAACTGTTTAAATTAAACAGCCGTTTTTGCAAAAATACCATTTGGGTAAACTCTGTTATAAGAAACATTTATAATAATGACGTCGAATCTTGTTTTGAAATGATTCGACCTTGAACTATGAATCATTTTAAGATTCTAACTTATATCAGAAATAGATGCCTTAGTTACTAAGAAGGTTTCGACTGTTAACTCATACACATAATCCTTAATTTAACTTTTTTCTAAAACAAAATAATATCAATAAATAATAATCTATATTGCATCATACAAACCACATTGTCAGAATCTCAACATTATGATTTTTTAGGCGGTAGAGCCTAGCTGTAGTCAGTTACTACAGCTCGAACATGGGCTGGCTCGACCGGGGAAGTACCACCCTCTCATAGAAGATCGGCGTGAAGTAGCTTTTAATGGCTGCGTTTCGTCCGATGAGTGAGAGAGCCGGTTGCCCTTTCCCTATTCCCACCCTTTCCTACCATTTCCTTATTCCCACCCCTCCCCATCCCTAAAAAAACAAGGTTGGCAACGCATCCGCAACAAAGATGTTGCGGATGTCCATGGGCGACGGTAACCACCTTCCATCAAGTGGGCCGTCTGCTCGTTTGCCAGCTTTCACACAAAAAAAATGACAATCGCCAATGATTTATCTCAAGTGGTAGTTTTATTACTGTTAACTAATTAACTAACTAATATTTATAAACACCAATAAAATGTAGATATCATGTATATGTTAGTGTGTTTATAATGATGCGTAATGAATATGGAAATTATGTCATTTTAAGACCTTCGAAGTAATGAATACTGTTTTATGTCAGAAATAAACTTATTATTTTCCCAATAAACTTAGATTATATAACTTAGACTATTAATGATTGTAACAATTATTAAGGCATTACTAATTCGTCATAAAATTTTTATCTTTTTTCTCTATTGATGTGAAAATAATTTAATGAACAGATCATGATAGATATTCTTTATTTATTATTATATAATATATATATATATATATATATATATATATATATATCTCAGTTTTTTATTAATTTTGTTTGTATAATATTTCTTCCTTTCGAATACCTTCATAGCAATGGAAAGGGTCTGCTTATTTCGTATACTTTTTTCTGAAGATTCTCAATAACGAGATATTATGATAACGTACAAAAACATATATAAAATTGGCTGAAGAGATTTTTTTTGAATTGAAATAATACAGGAAGCACTTACACATTTTCCTTTGTTTTGACTTTTCTTGGATGTGTTTTAATAAAATAATATAGATTGTGAGAACAACCGAAATCTTAAAAACATATATGTTATTGTACAAACTGTATAATTATTTTATTTATATAGAATAAAATTCTTATGGTTAAATCCAAAAGACTTGATTGATATCGAAAGTTATTTTACTTAAAATTATTGTCATAAAAATTTTTATGTGTATGATTATGTTTTTTCATATAATATCAAATATTACAAGAAAAATTTTGACGGTTGTAGATACGATTACATACTAACGAATCTTTCATTATCTTCTTAATAAAACATTGAATCCAAGAAGTATCCGTTACTATTCTGTATCGTTGTGATTACAGTCTAATTAAATTATAGTTTAAATTACCCAAGTCAATAGAACGTCCGGATTGTTGACAGGGTTGGAATGATGTTTCGTATCATGGATCTAATCAAATATTGACGCCTAACTTGGACGTATTGGCCAGTAGGAGTGTGGTACTTCAACAATACTACAGCGAGGCGATATGCACTCCGGCACGTACAGCGCTACTCACCGGCAAATACCCTATGCGACTAGGTCAGTGTCCAAGGTCATATAACAAGATATTTGTAATGAGATCAAAACTTTCGCAAGTTTTATTAATTTAAATGAAAGTAGTATTTTTCGGATATACTACGAGTGCTTAATTTTTGTAAAAAAAACTACATTCTCCCGACGTTTCGGCTACTTTTCAGCAACCGTGATCACGGACAGACAAGTAGCCGAAACGTAAGGATTATATACTTTCTTGATAAAAATATAGCACGCGTAGTATATCTGAATAATATTAGTTTCATTGAAAAGTTATATATTACTTGATATTATCAAAATTTATTTATTAAAATACACAAAAATTGTATTGAGATATTCTGAATTCTCTTAATATGAACTGCTTGCTTATTATTCATGTTGTAAAACTAAACACAGACGGTCAAGACTTATATAATTAATAAATTATATTCATACAAAAATATATATAAGTATCTTGTAACTATCGATGTTTAATCCTTTATGTAAAGTTATACTAACAGTTGAGCTTACATCTGTCATCAATCAACCTATATGATAATTAATCTTTATATATATATATATATATATATATATATATATATATATATATATATATATATATATATATATATATATATATATATATATATATATATGTTTAGTGTTTTAATTTGTTTTTCTATTATTTATATAACACTTATAAATTAAGAGAGGAATTTCAACAGGTATGCACGGAATGCCGCTATCTAATGCAGAAGATCGAGGCATTCCAATGTCAGAGCGACTGCTGCCTTCATTTCTAAAGGAAAGAGGTTACAAAACTCATTTGGTCGGTAAGTGGCATGTGGGTATGTCACGAAAGCAGTTCCTACCAACCAGAAGGGGATATGACAGTCATTACGGAATTCTCGGTGGATCTGTAGATTATTATACGCACAATCATATTGAACTGGTGAGTTAAAATGTCATATCAAAGGTTATAAGTTTTTTTTACACCTCTATTTATTAGCAATGAAGTTGAGAGGTAATGTCTCAATGATTTCAAATAATTAATTACACGAGTACCTACCATCAGTGTTAGCTTATGATTTCAATGTTCGTTAATCTTAGATGAGGATAATTTAACTTTTTTTAAAATATATTCCAATAGATCATTCCTAATTTATACAATATATTAAAAAAAAATATTTAAATACTTATCGATTTTTACTTTAATAGAGTATGATTAAATTGTATATACATATTATATTATTATAAGGTTCTCATAATAGCCAAGTATGTGTTTGTTACTGTACTTCTTAATAATAATATTGAAACGACTATGGCGAACTATAACTTAAATTGAATTTGTAATTTATGATACATCTCCTTTGTTCGTAAAAAAACTATAAAGTATGCTTTTTTAACTAATTATCAAATAAAAACTTTTTAAACAATATATGAATTGATCAAAGGGGATATTAAAAAAATTTCAAATATGAAATCCAACTCATTGGAAGCGTTATCTTGAGTGTGAAAAAGTAGTAAAATACATTTTATTGAAATTTCAAAGCAGTAAATGATAATAATCATTCTTGTAGCAAAACTATGAACTTGATTTTAAAAATAATAAAATCACAAATGATTAAGATTTAGAAAAGTATTCAATCCTTTCTAAGTTATCAATAGAATCAATGAATTTTTATCAGAGAAATCCTACCTTAACTCGAAAAGATCTTCGTCGGACGTTAAAGGTACATCATTTGTTAATCAAATACATGCTTTGTATCACACTATATTATTAGTAACAAATACTGACTAGCTATTAAACTTGTGGCATACGAAATAAGCAAATATTGGCTTATTGTACTCGTTTAGAAAAATAATGTAAGTTTTTATTTTTATTAAATATTTTATCAATTGCAGTACGGTGATGGAAGAAAGTTCTATGGAACTGACCTTACGTTTAACGACATCCCACAAGATGACGAGGATAGATACATTGTAGACGCACTAACTGAAAGGGCTATGGAAAGTGAGTATTAAAGTAAAAACTAAGTACAATAATACATATGTACAATAAATGATTATGGTTGTTACAATAAAAAACTCGGACAAAAAAGTCTGTTATTGTTCCACAAACTGGATGGTGCTTTATTTACTATGGCTCAACTTATGTTATGTGGCATAAAGCCGACGACAGTAATCGCACTATACCAGGAAAATGATATTCACTCTCGCCTTGAAGGCATCTAGATTGTTAGCATAAACGTATTGTTTTATATATCTGTTACGAGAAATATTCATTCTTTTACACATATTATAGTAGAATACCAAAACGAAACTTTAGAAGCACAAATTATATTTTACAAACTTGTGTAATAAGAAAACAGTTAAACTTGTAAACGAGTCACCCTTTCATATTAAAGTAAAACATTAACATTTCATATATACTAGCTTTTGCCGGCGACTCCATCGGCGTAAAAGAGAGAAGAGTGTTTCAAAATATTTTTACTGTTTGTCTTTGTATGTGTATTATTGCAAACATAACTGTTATGACTTATTTCTGGTGGAACTATATGAGATTATGGGATAGATTACGTACAGTCTATATTATTGACATAAATATGTGACGTATTGTATGTTTGAATTTGTCTATTGAACGTCTCTGTGTCACATTCACCTAGTTTTCATATTTTTTTAAATCTAGATTTTGGTAAAGATCTTTTATTTTATTTGAATTTTCTACTACACGAATATTTCCATAGAGGACACAGAAAAAAATATTGTTTTAATTGATATTTATAAAAATGATTACAGTCATACAAAATCACAATGACTCAAGTCCAATGTTCCTTCACTTGGCGCATAACGTACCTCATGCGGGTAATGATGGAGGGCTGCTCCAACCTCCAAAAGTACCACTGTCCAAGAGGAATCAACATATTGCACATTCTGACAGAAGACTCTATGCAGGTATGTACATTACTTTATTGTATAGTTTAAATCCTCGAAACTTCATATCGTGAAATTGATGTTTTTATTTACAATTATTTTCTATTTATTTTCAGAAATGGTTACTCATTTGGACCTTAGTATTGGAAGAGTTGTGAAGGCTTTAGCAGATAAAGGAATGTTGCAAAACACTATTATTATATTCGTGTCTGACAACGGCGCCCCGACTGTAGGTATGTTTAATAATTGGGGAGTGAATTTACCTTTTCGAGGAAAGAAACAAACTCCTTGGGAAGGAGGCGTTAGAGTCCCAGCCTTTATATGGCATCCCTCATTAAGACCGAAAGTTTGGGATGGACTTATGCACGTTACCGATTGGCTTCCCACTCTCATGGGGGCTGTTGGAGGTGAAGTGAATGTCCAGATTGACGGTGTTAATCAGTGGGATTCTATATCACAAGATGCAAAACCTAAAAGAAAAGAAGTATTGATTGCTATTGAAGAGAGTGATGCCTATGTTTACGCCGCTTTTAGAGCTGGTGATTATAAGATCGTTGTTGGAAATGTGACCGGTTTAAGTAATGGATACTATGGGGCTGATTTTATGACCTACAGATCTTCCCCACCTGATTATTTTGCTACTCTTAAATCGTCACAGGTAGCTAAGGTTTTTGAATCATTGAATATGAAATTGGACTACGATGAAGTGTTGGCTATGCGAGAAGCAAGTATTATCAAACAAATAGACCCAGTACGAGATCTGACTTCATGTGACCCTAGGCCTGGTAAGTTTTATGAATTTTTTAACGAAGATTTATCTTCCTTCCTCTCTTATGTATATGTACTGAAAGTCAAGTTCTTTTCTTGCAGAACGTGGATGTCTATACAATGTTAAACTAGATCCATCGGAGAGTCACGACTTATGGAGTAGTGGAACTAAAATTACCGATAAACTGTGGAGTAGATTGAGGTCCTTATGGTCAATGCAATTAAAAAGAGGACCAGCAATAGTAGACCCTCGGGCCGATCCAGTAAATTTCGGTTACAGATGGTTACCGTGGCTTAACGACAGTTCGCCAGTCATGACCCTGAATGATAATAATGTATCCAAAACTGAAATGGGTTCAAATTTTAGTGAAAATTATTAAATTGTGCCCAATAGTGATGGTTCTTCAAATGGAAAAACAGTTGCAACACCAGTTAACTGTCAAGATGTCAAAGGGTTTAGAAATTTCCTTTGCATATTAAGGAGTGTTTTGTAGATCAATTTGTTTTTTATTATTTTTGTACAAGGTGTCATTTAATTATTAGTGTTTTTGTTGGTAATTATAATTGTTAATTGTTTTTATAAAGTACAATTTTTATTGACCAGTGTTTTATTGAATTTATTTTGTAAGAATGCGAATGAGTTCAAATAATTTTGTGGCTGTTCGAAATAGTTAATTATTATTCATACGATTGTTAAACATGCGAAAAACTATCTTTTTGTTACTTTTGCATGATTGACTAAAACATCGGAAAGGAGGGAGTCACGATCTTAAAGAAAGACGTGTGCTGCTGATTGGCCAGAATTTTAGGTATTGTAAATAGTCAACTTTCGGTATTAAGTAATATACGGAAACACACATTAGATTACATAGCGGGTCCCAGTTTAACTGATGCTAAAAATTAAATTAAAAATTAACTCATATAGAAATTATCAGTTTCAATTTAAAGTTCGTTAATATGAAAATGATGATAGTTCACGTTATGTTTTAAAATCATATCATAAATGTCATTCAATTTAGAAATAAAATCGAGTTTGTGTAATAAAGATGATATTGGCGTTGCGTAACTGTAAACTAATCTGAGTTTGTCATTATGCTGTCTTGAGCGTACGCGTCTTTTTCCCAGTTTATTTATATACATAATGAAATTGTTTCAAATTTTCAAATGTATTATGCGTTAAATAAAGTATTTTAAAATAGTTAATATTTATGTTTCAAAATGATGTTTATAGAAATCGAGATCGCCATCGAATGTTAGAGATTTCTTTTAGTCTAACGCAATCGATCACAATTAGCTATCGATTGCGTTGTGACTTACAAAGGGCAAAGTATTATAGAAAATATGAACTTATATGATACAAATATGTTACAGTGTAAATAATAAATCACTAGAACTCGTAGAACTGTAATAGGTTATAAGGGATCTTTTTTAACAGAAAAATGTTAAGTGTCTGCAAATTGTTTTTGTGTTACTTAATAGCAAATATTATTGAAAGAGATGCAACTCGACGGAATATCGTCTTTTTTATTGCTGACGACAATGTAATTTTTAAGAAATTATAATTTTATTATATGTAGAATCACAACCGAGAGTAAAAATTATGTGTATTTAGAAAGTTATTTTATATTAATGAGATAATTTAAACACACGTTTCAAGTTATTCTATTTTGAAATGTATTTATTAAAGCTGGTTTCGTAATAAAATTATTTCATTACTTACGATTAAATTGTTTAAACAAAGTTGCCGAGTAACAACTACTCTAAGAATTACCAATACTAGAAGGAATTAAGAGTGGTCAACCTTTTTTATGCCTAAAATCCTATATCTCAGAAGGTTTCTGATGGTCTAAGCTTTGTTAGTGCCATATAAAATTTAATAAGTTTCTAGATAATGATAATCAGTTTTTTTGTGAAGGACTTGTATCAAAAGCTTGTAAACAAAAAATATTAATGAGGCTGGTTACCGGTACATGACTTGTTAAAATTGGAACTACATTTATGAAGAACTATTCATATTTTTTATATAATCTATATAATACTATTGATTTGTCATGAAATAAATCCTACATCGTTTCTATTAAATTGTTATTCCTTATTTGATGAGCGCTCAAAATTGCCACTAACCTTTACAGTATTTATTGCTCACTATTAGCATTGCACTTTAACATATACGATACACTAACGACATTCCCATCAAAAATATTGCAAAGGTTGTACTCAAACATAAATAAAGCAGGGTTGGGACGACGTGAGCTTTCACGGGTCGGATCAAATTTTGACACCGAATATAGACCTGCTCGCGTATACCGGCGTCGCTTTAGAGAGATATTACAGTCATTGCATATGCACGCCATCGCGCGCCTCTCTCCTCACTGGGAAATTCGCACATGTCATAGATAGCACAGCTATACGTTTTTGCACTCTTTTTCCGTGTAAATAAATTAAATATTCTCACATATTTTCAATTTTATTTCAATTTACGTATGGTTCTACTTTTTTTTATCTATCGATTTTTATGAATGGTTTCTCAAATAACTATTAGTTATCGTGTCATATTGATATAGTGTCATATTGAAGGTATGCAGGGCTACCCGTTGACAAATGCGGAAGATAGAGCTCTACCCCTTGGAGAGAAAATTCTACCCCAATATTTAAAGGATCTCGGTTATGCCACACATTTGGTTGGAAAATGGCACGTTGGACAAGCACGAGCCGAACATTTGCCCACATTCCGAGGTTTTGACACGCATTTCGGTCACAGGGGTGGCTATATAGATTACTACGAATACACGTTATTGGAAAATGTAACTTATTTTGCTTTAAATATAATACAATTTCTTTTATTGTTTATGATTCCCATCAGTTGTTTATGCTTGTATTGTTTGAATTTCGCAGTGGGATGAAGGAGACGTTTCTGGATTTGATCTTTTCCGAAATATGACGGCTGCTTGGGGAGTTGAAGGATACATAACAGATGTTTACAATGAAGAAGCTAAATCAAGTAATTTTTTTAGTCAGAATAAATTTTTGATGTGTTACTATAAAATATACCCATTTTCACAAATTCATTTCACATTTGTAGGGTAACGATTATGTATCTAATATAAATATATATAGTATTTTAAAATGATAAAGTATAATACTAACCATAATATCGAAAGGAAATTCAAAAGCTGAATATTAAATAGCTCGAAGTTACTTTTATATTCTGAGCAGGAAAAATATAAATTCAGATGCGATAAAAATCACTTATTTTATTTCCAAAACGGATAATTTAACTGTTTTATCGATTTGTTTATGTATTTCATATTATTGAATTGAAATAAGGATGAAACTATTAATGTTACTAGTGAAAAGAGTTTGGGTATTTTCATTATTATCGGTACTTATTTATTAAGTAAATTAAAAGTATTGTGTTGTAAATATTAAATGTGTTTCTAGATGAAAAATAAACTAGGGAACTCATTTTTTTACAAAAATATTTAGAATAATTTAAAACCATTAATAAATGTAATTAAAAAATTACTTGAGCATAAAGACATCCTTATGCTAATTTTCACTTTCAGTTATTAAGGCACATGACGTCTCAACGCCATTATTCGTTATGGTTGCTCATAACGCTCCTCACTCTGCAAACGAAGGTGCTTACATGCAGGCACCGTCGGACGAGGTTTGAGCGGTGAGGCATATTGAATTGCCACAAAGAAGATATGCCGGTATTTAAAAAAAAGTTTATTATGTCGTGAAAACCATTAGTATTAGATTCCAAGAAACATGAATGAAGAATTTGTCAATAGTTCTTTGTAAATTTCTTCTTAACATTGTTGAAATCAATGATTTACTGCTATGTAAATACATCAGTAGTAAAAAATTATGTAAACATTGCGTTACCGCACATTTGTGAATTTCATAATTTAGAGAATATGAAGATGCTATCAAGAAAAGTAAAATTTATTCCGTACTTTCGTATAATGGGGTTAATTTTGCATTTAACGAGAGAGCACTTAGACAAGAAATTAAAAGTAAATGTAACGATTTGAAATCAAATCAAGAAATATGTTATCCTTCAAAAGGTAAGTAATAAAACATATGTTTTTTACTTATTTTATATATAATTTTATACTAAGAAATCTAATCTGAAATTTATTTGCTGTAATTTTATTTTAGATAAATGGTGTTTATTTAACATCAAAGTGCGAAATAGTGAATTTAATGGAAACACACAGTGATGTTGCCAAGGAACTGCATACGGATTTAGAAAGAGAGATAGCTAGAACAATACCACGTACGATCCTTCATGAATCAAATCTAAAAGCAATGCCCAAATTACACAATTACACATGGGATATTTGGAAAACTTCAGATAAAGAAGTTATAGAATAGGTTGTAATATTTACTGGGTTAGTAACAGTGATTTAGTTTAATATTTTAGTTTTAGGTCTTTTTGGTAAATGATTCCATTGATAAATGAGCTGGTAACTAAGCCAAAATAAATTATTAAGAAAGTAATTATTAGAAAACCTTTCCTGTAAATGGTATGTCGTTTTTTCTATTCTTTTGTTTTCATAATCGAAAACGAAAATTACTAAGTAATATGTTAAGGGTATATTTTTTTTATTATTGATATTTATTCCTTTAATTTGTAAATTTTTGATTTGTAATATAAATAAATTCGTGTATATTTAGAAAAAAAATAGAAAAATTGGATACGATTATATTTATCATAAATGTACCTCCTTACCCTTTATTGAACTCTTTTTAATTATATTTTATGTAGGTAGTGATTAGTGAAATTCATGAATTGTAAATAAATGTATATTATAAATTATAATTTTTGTTAGCATTGGTTTTTTAAAAATCAATTTCTTTCTCTTTCTTGTAGTTATCGGCGTTTCCTACTAGGTTTCGCCAATGTCATACGTGTGTATTAAAGTATGTAAAGCAGGATTTGTGATTGAACAAGGTCGCCACTAGAAACTAAGTAACTTTTATACTGCTGAGATTTATAATTAAATTAATGTGATCACTGGATTGACATTGACATATTTCTCTTATATTAATTGACAAAGGTTATCTGTAATTAAAAATTATTTATTTTTTAAATTTATTGGTTAGTACTACCATATCTCTTTTATATTAAACAGAAAGATTTCCTACGGGCCATCGCTAGATGTCGTTATTGTTTTCATGAGAAATAATTAATCGTAGGTAAAGAAAAAAATTACAAAGACTTTTCAATCCACAGTATGTGTAATGTAACGTGTTTTTTCAATAACTGGTAAAGCATATAAAATAATAATTTATCTAAAAGAATTATATAAAAATTTACAACTTCGTGCTATGCACTTATGGCTATAAATTCATTGAACGATTATTGAATTTATTTCTCGAGTCAAAAACAAGTTGAAAATACATATATTGTTATTTTAACTATATGAACGTCAAATATGTAATAAAATGTTATAATAACAACATTGCCTGTATAAGAATTCTTAAGTGTATATGTTTTTTGAAATTTTCTATTTGTAAGGAACTATTTGATGTTATAACTTTACAGAAGCTTTCACTGTACCGTGAAATTAAACTCTACCTTTGAAATATATTTTCTACTTTTCGAAATAGAAAATACTCTTTAAATATTATACAGTTGCATTAATAATTGATTCTTGAATCTGTCAAATGTTAAATTATTTTTATATTGAGATATATATATATATATATATATATATATATATATATATATATATATATATATATATATATATATAGTTATTTTATTAGACTAATACTAACCTGTTCTGAAGTCTAGTTGTATCTATACATACATTCAGATAACTGGTGCCTGAGTTAATTAAAGAGAAATAGTGTTTCAGTAGTGAATATCAATAATGATAGAGCTAAAGTCAATTTGATACAAATTAATAGATCTTTAGATTACTTTAAAATATCTATTTTTGTATGTGAAATTATTTTTCATAAATATTCTGTTTGACAATTTTCGTTTTTCTTCATTTGTTGTAAAATATTTCCGCAACATTGAATAATAATAAAGGTATTATTTTTTTTAAATATAACCATATTTTTTATGAATCGAAATATTTAATGTTTTAACAAAATCAGCTGAATTATTTTATATATTTTCGATGTATTTATTTTTAGTCTTGTTCGACATATTATTAAAATGAATTAAAGTAATTGAACATAAAAAACGAAAAAAAGCTTTATTGTTCAAATATAAGCATTTACATTGAAAAATATATTATGAATGTATATTTGTTTAATTTTATATGCTTAAATATGCTTTATAATATCGTCTTGTCTGCCCGTAATCACGATTGCTAAAAAGTAACCGAAACGTCGGGAGTATAGTTTTTTACAAAAATACAGCACACAGTATATTTTTATAATATACAGCATTTTTCGGATATATAGCACGTAGTTTATCCGAAAAATATTAGTTTCATTTAAATGAATACTCGCGAAAGTCTTAGATATCATTTTTCTTCATGATGTTTTTCGTGATGTCAATGTAAAGCTCACAACACACAATAAATTTTGTTCTTATAAGAAATATAGATAATTCTCAAATAATCCTGCAAGATATTATTGTTAGATAAATAATCTTCGTAATATATTTCATATTAGGGAAGAGCGGAATATATTTTTATCGAAAAGCAAAATGTCTTAATTTCTATATGGTACTTAATGAAAATGCCTTTTATTCTGATAACCATAATGATTAGTATATTTTAAATAAAAACTTACTTAGATATTTAACGTTTTTATATTATATATGACATATTTTAAATAATTGTAACTAGATATTTTCGTATTACTATTCATGGGAGAGTGTGTTTTTTTTTGTGTGGTATTCTAATTATCAAAGTTGCAGAAAAGGAATAAAGAAATACTCTTAAAAACATACGAATTATATCGAGTATGTTTTAGGTCAAAATACTTTATATTATTTTTTATTATAAACATATTAATAACATTTTAATAATGTTTTACCAAACTTCTTTTATATATAAGTCATTTTTAATTTCATTCTTTTATAAAACAAATACAACTAGGAGTAGAAAGCAGTAATTATATTTTACTAACCTAAAACCAAGTACTAACTTAAAATCTAGTTTGAAAGGCAAGTATGTTATAAGAAAAAATTGTTTATAAGTTAGGAGCACAAATTACAAATATTTACAGGTCGCAGCACAAGAATTCTCTCAAAGCGTTCACGAATATGAAAATTACAAGGAGCTGTATATATAAGTTGCATTATTTTATACGACGTTCTCCGTGAAATTCAGAAATGAAACAATGTAGAACATTTTGTATTAACAAATAAAAAACAACATTCTATTTTAACTTTACGAACTTCTTTTAAATTAAAAAATAAGTAAAAATAAAATGTTTTATAACTGCGACGGTTTTTCATCCTCTTTTTGTAGATTATTCTTAAAATGTCTCCTTAAATCACTATGATTTTCTTTACCTATTTGTACTTGTAATAAAGACGAAAAGCAATTAGTATTGATTATTATTAAAATATTATATGAATTACATAATAAAAACGTAAAAGTGTGCAAAACTTGCAACGAAAATCAAGTTTCTGCAATAAACATCTATAAGCTTACCCTAAGTTTTGCTTTCTCACACTACATACATACGTAGTGTTAACTAGTAATCTAAAAGTTTCAATGTGGATTATTGAATGCAGAAAGAGTAAAGCTTCGTGTATAATGTCGCGGTGCAAGCTTGTGGGAAGTATTTAATTATATAAAAGTAGATAACCTCGTATCAGTTTTTTTTTTCATGCAAATATATTTATTATGTGGATTAACAGCATATGAGTTTGGCCGTCGAGCACTACCGATAAGAGTGAAGTATTGAAATATTGAAAATAAATAAAGTCTGTTTGTGGCATTAACCTTTGAAACGGATCGACCGATTTCAATGCCTATTTTTTATTTGAAAGACAATTTACTTGATGTGATTCTTAGGTATGTTTGGACAGCAATGTAAAAATATAAGCTATTATGTAAGGCGTAAGATTAATAGATTAAGTATTTCGCTTATGACAGTTTACCGTTAAAGAAAGTATAAACACGTAGTTTTTTTTAGTAGTTGATATATTTTAGTAATATTCCGAAATCAAGCTACTAATAGTTGTACGTCACTATTTAAATTAAAACATGGGTTTGTGTTTTTGAATAAAAGAAATAATGTCTAAAGGGCTTTTCTTGTAGTATTTTAATCCTTTTACCCGACAAAAATTTATTTTATTTAAAAAACTAAAAAATATATAAATAAAGAAAATAATTTTACTGACATAAGACGTAATGTAAATTATTCTCAAATAACCGTTATGAGACAGAAATTAATTTCTTGCCATCATCATTTAATAATTTTAATATCTATATGTCTTTCAGATTAGTTCCAAACATCAGTAAAAACACTATGAGCTTGTATAATAAAGCTGAAAATTTGCCTAAAATTAATGCAAAGGTATTCATATTTATTATTGCAACTTCATAGGCTTGATTGTGTCTAAATAAATCATGAGTGGAAAATCACGTTAATTTTATAGTTTGACAACAAAATAAAGGAGTAGTGAAAATATTGGAAATTTAACGAATGATAAAGGACAGTGAATTTTTCTACAGTGATTGTAAACACATCGTCCCTATGAACCATGTTCGTAGATACTAATATATATTACGATATTACCTATTTTAATCAAGAAAAAGCTACATACATATATGGTAAAAAAATAAATATACCTTTATGACAAAGAATGTGCATAAATTAAGTCCAATGTTTTTTGTACTCTACTTCATATTGCACACAAAATAAAAGTTCTTTATTAATTTCTGAAATATCCGTGTATGTATCGGTAGATTATAGTTTTATTTCATGTTATTTTAATAAATTATTATCTGCTGATTCTGATTTATGACGGATGGAAATATGGTGTGGTGAATTATTCTTCGGTTAATATATAATTGGTACTCCAATTATATATAGTTCTATAAATATAAATGGTTTTTAATTTCTAATAAATCTTTAAGTAGCATATGGTCATCACGTTGCACATAGACGTCATATAATATAGTTATAAGTGAAAATCACATAACCCTCGTAATACCCAATTTATTAAATACAAAATAAATTTATCGCTCTAGCATAATAATAAGTATAATTTTACTAATAAATGGTTCACTCTCGAATAAAAATATGAAACCGGTAAATCTATATGGAAAAGCGTTTATTTTATATTGAACTCATAATATTTATTTTATCATAAATGTATAATATATATAAATATATGAACATGGATCAGAAGAAGATTGTATTAACAATCACTTTTGTAACATTCACTATTC